TTGTCTAAAGAGTAAATACTTGGTTTTTAACAAGTTATAAGTAACCCATGCTTGTTTGAGTTTACTTGTTGAAAATGCATGTAATACATTCTATACATTTATTTATAATGATGTATGACTCAAGTGTTTTTGCAAAATAAATACTTGGGGAAAAGTTGGAACCCTTAATGCAAGAGTCCAAAAATATTAATTAAATAAAAAAAGTTTTTTTGGATTTTAAACTAAATGTACTATATTGTATTTTTTGCGGTATTCATTCGTTGTTCAAGCTACGTGTTAATGAAAAACCACAAGTCTCAATAATTACAAAAAAACATTACATGTTACATGTTTAAACCAAATTCTTCGACCTTCAATAATAATATGGGGCTCTTGTACATCAAGCTAGGATAATTAATTTTTGTATGCCTCAAAATAGCTTAAATTCTCTCATTTAAGCACATATTGTTAAAATTCTACCGTGGGAGGACCTCCGGACCCCTCGGCAACCTCCCCCCCCCCCCAAAAAATATAGGTCTAGAACCGCCCTTGCAATGAATGTATGTAAAATTAGCTGTTATAGTTTTATACATACTACAGCAGTGCTGTTCACTAGTAACATGTAAATATATACAAGTAAGAGCACATAGGGATACCAGAATAGTAGAGAAAGGTAAATTTGTTTATGAGAAATAAGCTACAAGTATTTACTTGTACCTCGTATAAAGTTTACTTTGAAAATAGTAAATACTTGCAAGTATACCCTCAGATCAGTGAGTATACCCTCTCATTTAAGAAGTATTTACTTGCAAGTAAAGAGTCGCTTTTATTCACAGGAGTTTACTTGGAGGGATGAATACTTGCAAGTATTTACTCGCAAGTAATTACTTGCTGTACTTGTTTTTATTCACTCGGCCCTTGTTAGATTATTTGCTGCTTTTGTATTAAACTTACAGTACTCAGCAGACTAGCACAGTTAACATAAGTATACATAAGTTAAAAAATTTTGAATGGTGTAAGTGAAATGAAAATAAATAATTTTCCTGGACTAACCTTTTTGTATTAGGTTTAGTGTTTAGGCTATGTTATGATATTTTTTATTGCTATGTAAACAAATCCACGACTAAGCTAATCTTACTTTTCTAGTTCTACTCAAAAGTTCGCTGATTACGTTACCACTGTTGCTTGTTCCCAACAATTCAAGGTTTTTGTAAATTAAAACACTAAAATCAAAAGGGGCATAAAAGTTTGGTTGCATGAACCTCTTTTTGGGTTTTTCCTTTTCCCAAAAGCTTAAAGCAAAAGCAATCACTTTTATAATTCACTCTTCGTCTGTACCATCAAAGTAACACAACGTCTGTCTGTAGGAATGGGCACACGGGAGGGACTAAGGCTAAAGGTGTAGTGACGTCATATCTCTAGTGGCTAATGTCTTCTCTTGAGGCAGCACGATTACCGTAACGAGACGATGTAATTCAATTCCAGCGGCATTCGTCGTTCGTGGCACAGTTGGTAGTGCATCGTATACTAGTATTTGGTTGGTTAGGTTAGGTTATGACAGTTTAATTTTATAATTAAAAAGTTAATTTTATAACTGAAAATTATAAAATTAACTTAATTTACATTTTTCAACTTAGCGATAGCGGTTCTAGCGGCGAACGCTGAGACTATGTTAGCCATCGTCCCTCCCTTGTCCCACCGGTGCCTGACCCTTCCTTCGTCTTTCTTCAAATGTGGTCGATCGAGTGTCGAACTGTAGTTGACTGTGAGCACAGATAATAACCCCTACTAGTAGTTAACCCTAATATAACCCCCTATAGTAGGGGTTATATAATCTGTGCTGAGTGCTGTGAGTGAAGTGAACTGTCACTGTCCAGTCTCCAGTCTCCACATGAACACAACAACGGTAAACGACAAACAAACATGATGAACTAACTGTCAACAGTGTCAACCACTGAGCTGTGGCTAGAATCTATTTATCTCATGCTGTCACTCACTACACTAAAGAATAATATTAATATTATATAATAATAATAATATATTAATATAATTTTTAAACACTACTAAGTTCCTCATCCTCTTCAAATTTGGAGGGAGCTCAAACAATACCCAAAATAAAACCCAACCAAATTTTTAATTCCTTCTTTGACGTTGACTTCCTCTTTATGACCAGTTTCAGTTTCACTATAGAGACTATGCAACCTTAGTGTTAGATTGTTTTTTGACATTGATTATACCATAGATAAAACATACCATACCTCTCCCAAGTGAGATGTATATGGTGTATTGAATAGGTGCAATATCTTGATGTGAAAACAGATGAAACTCTTTCTTAGGGTAAAAACACAGTGAAGCCGGGCAGGTCGCATACTCGCATGTACGCGCTGGTCCCCGCATTATGGCTGGTTACCTGAGGGTAGCTGGGACATACACACAGTGGCACTCAGTACAGTCGCTTGTCAGCCACCGATGCTAAATATTATCACTTATAATATTAGTAGGATAGGATAAACTTATGTTTGCATCCTAGTTCATTTGCTATTTCATTCTACAGATCGTTGAGTACGTGACGGTTGTAGTGGTCCGGATGGGCTTGGTTCCAAAGGTACACGGATAAAAACCTCTGATATTCATTTGTCTACGTCTATTATTTGATTTCATGTAAACAAAACAACAACCTAATAAATGCGCGAGCTCCTGGGTTTGAGAGTACTAGATTGGTGGGACATTTTAAGGGTTGTGGAGACCAACCTGAGCTCCACAGTATATTTGTGTCCGTGAACACGATGGATAGCGCTGGGTTCACAACGATATGGTAGGCATTCGGTTAAATATCGAGCTTGTTTTCTACCGGATGACAGACATCGACTTTTAGTATCGGCATCGGCTCTCTGGCTCACCGCACCGGCTGTCTCATACCATAGACTAGGTGTATGTTTTATCTATGCTCATACTCATGGTGGAATAGTAAACTATTGCCTTGGTGCCTTCTGCTGCAGCTGCTCCTATGTCTGTCGTCAAACGTCATAATGTGGCCTTGACGACGGAAGGCCATAATTTTATTCCCAATATTACAGTGAGAGTGAATGCAAATAAATAAGTACAACATAATATCTGAACCTGGCATAAAATTTGCCAATGAAAATGTTTATTATCCAATTACAGTAAGGCTGATAACCAGCATGATAAATATATAAGAACTTAAATTACGGAGGAATTTTAAAATTAATATTCCAGTAACTTGCGCAATTAACGCCAGATAAATTACCACCCCCTTACTTTTAAAAGCGTTTGGATGACCTTTGCATATTTCCTCCATAATAATGCACTATGCACCATGAAACTGATCAAAAGGAACAATGTTGGAATAAATTAAATCAAATATTTTCCTCTCCTTTTAGGCTAGTGCTAGTAGTTTTTGTAATCTCTTGTCTTCTCTCTTCTGTCTGTCGGTGTTGGTTGGTTTGGTTTTTTTCTTAACAAAGTTTATTTACAATCTGTTTTACATTAAACAATTAATAATTAAATACGATGACATTTTTATTAATAAAATAAAAATTGGAAAACATGAGTTAGCAGCTTTAAACTGGTTTGTTTACGTTTTGGTTGGTTGGTTGGCGCTATGGAAGCCAATCGATTTACGATATTCGATAGTAGCTGTTTTCATACTACGACGATCGATACTTAACCGTATGCCTACCATATCGTTGTGAACCCAGCGCTATCCGAACACGATAGCTTGAGTTATTTTTGTCCGATTTTGATGAAATTTGGAGGGTGTAAGGCGGGATAAACTTGAATGAGTTCGCGAACCAGCATGATCGGACCATGGGATCGGAGTTTTATGGGGTAAAAATTGGTTTTTCTAATTTTTGACCCTCTAAACACAAAATTTCACAATTTTCCTCCAAACCTTTTTAAAGAGCTTAAAAAAACAAATAATTTAGTATGTTAAAGTGTTTTTGCACATTTATTATTGGTTACAGATAAAATTCATAAAATTGTTATTTTAAAATTCTCTTGTTATTCTTATGGAGAATATTGCAAAATGTTGTAGTTTGCTTGTTTATGGATATATTTTGATCAAACTTGGTAAATGTATTTAATAATACTAAGTTATTAATATTAAAAAAAAAAACACCCTTTTTATCCTACCTGTAGCAGCAAGCCTAGGTACTCATAAAACCTAATGTTAATTAAATACATTTAATTGAAAATCAATTCAGGCAAATGGAAATTCGCGTAGTCAGCAGGTTTGCTGCGGCAGGGGTATTTTCTAAAGTATTTATCACTGTTATTGTTATTCAAATATTTATAATCCATGTTATTAATTTATAAAATCTTGATCAATCGTTGTTATTCTTTGTTTTTCATTATTGTATATCTTTCTATTGTAGTCTTTGTAATCTTTCTAGCTTCTCGTAATATTAGTTTTAGTCAAATCTATTAAGCCATGCATGTTGCATTATAATATATTTGCATCAAGAGTCATGAAACTCCAAATGTAAAATGGTTATAGGGGTGTATAAATAAATAAAATAAATGTGATACTAAAGAATTAATAAAATAAAATAAATAATAATAAATAAATGTCTCTTTTTTTGGCTTGGGCTAGCTAGAGCACTGAAACAAACATGCTCGCCAGTTACAATGCCTAGCAAACGTGCTCGCCTATTTTTATTTTTGGGATTCAAGTATTTATTAACAATGTTTGTGAGTCTAACAATGCAAAAAATTAAAAAATATTATATATATATATCTTTTTTAACTGGCAAAGTTATCTCGAGTTCACCAACCCATCAAAGACAGACGATGTAGTATACACATAAAGACATTTAACATTACATATTTTTCATGAGTTAACATATCTAGTTTTGACCTGAAGACACACTATTTGGATTACACGATAAACAATATTTCAATTGAACAACAGTCGTCCTGAAAAGTTGACAGTAAACAAAACATTTCAGACAAGAGGATGGTTATTTTGGATGGGTTTCAATAAAAACTAAGCTGTTCAATATGTTTTTACAAAAAATAAAGTTTAATGCACTATTATCCAATACAAAGGCCTCAGACACATTTTACAAATATATACATACAAAAAATATACATCATACCATCACAATGTTTAAATAAATATTTCTCTGTTACCCATTTCATTGCACGTTACAAAGCGTACTGTAAAAGGCAACTTTACTTACAGCATTTTTTTGTCACTGCGGTGACTGTATGAATATATTTACATTAAAACGACAAAAGAAATTTACATTATTGGTTCAAAGAGCATGAAAGTCAGTAATCTGTGTACATTCATATTTATGTCACTCTGACTGTTTTTAAAGCTAAACAAACTTTAATAATCAGTTTATACTGGGATATTAGTGGAGTGAATTATTAGTTATTTCAACAGCTGTCAGGAATTTTGTAGTAAAGAGGTGAAAGAGTGTTTAAAATATGGTTATATTGATTAAAAAAAGCATCCAAAATCCGAAGTTTACATTCAATATAGTCTTGGAGTAACCAGATAGTTATACATCAAAAACAAAACCAGTCATCCACCAATTCAAGATTGAATTTGGTATGATTTAAAATTTCCAAATTCATATAGTTATATACATACTGTATTTCAAACTACTTAAGGTACCGGTAGGCTACACAAAATACTCTTAAAACAGTAGTAAAAACATATTTTCAACATATTTTAAGATCATATTTCAAATTATAAAATTAAGAATATAAGAATATGGGTTGATTGTCATTTTTAAGTACAAGAATAAAATAATTGGTTTCTTTTCAGTTGGTTACAGTGAAAATTCCACAAACCAGAAAATAATCATTGATAAAAAATAAAGTTTTTAAATGGTTGGCAAATTTAAAATTGAAGTTACAAAAGATTGTAGCAACTGAACCAATAAACTGCGAGGAAGACAAATTTGAATTATACATTTAAAACATTATTTAGAGCATTCAAACTATTGAATTTTTATTTTAACACAAGTGGGCATTCAAATAATAAAAGATTATTTTTTATTTTTATCCATAATTGTATTTTAACTCATTAATATTTCACATTAGATGAATATTGCAGTAGAACCTAAAAATTCAAGTAATGCATAACATTCTATAGCCTATAAAAAAATCAATGGAATAGTTTGTCGTAAAACTTGTACTGTACAATTATGATTTTACGATTACAAAAGCAATTATTTTACAGTTGCAAATTCAATTGTCTCAGTTTTTAAGGCACTTGAGGGATGAAAAGGTAATAATTTACAACAACCCAGCAAAAACAAAAATACTTTGGAATCATTCGTAATATTAAATATATATTTTACAAGTTAAAAAAACAATTTGACAATAACAAGAGGATGTCGAGATTGGGTTTAGCCTAAATTCAAGTCTAAAATCTGTTATTTCAAATATTCAGGCAACAGCTTGAAAACCTAGTTGGACAAAGTGTTGTTTAACTCTTTAGCGCAGTAGAGTTTAACGAGTTAGCGCCTGCTGATTAAAATACAGCCAGGGTAAACTTGAGGTCTGTTCTAGTTAAACACGCTTAAAAGTGACTTGACAAGATAAAATTTAAGTTCAAACAGATAACAGCGTCTAAAATAACAACAGAACCCTGTGGGCAACTTAAACATGTTTCCTGGCAGGATTCAATGGGATTTACTCAAAAACTTTTTTATGGTTCAAGTTGGATTATTTTTTTTTAATGTTTGGCAAAAAGTTTACATAAATTAGTAGGTGAAAGGGGGGAATGTAATATCACACATTCGACTAAAAACCAAAATAATGTCACAAGTTATTACACAAACAATTAAGGAAACACTAAGCAATGAGAAAAGATAAACAATAAATATTCCTTCCTAATAGTTAGTTTATGTTGTATACATTTTGTTTCTTGCCAGATCTTACTTATATTACTCATATGAATATTTTAAGGGTTTGCCATTTTATAACAACAATAGTAAAAAGATAAAGTCAAAACAAAAGTAACAATTTCCTAAAAATGTAGAACCATTTATGAGTAAAAAATGCAAACTTACAGTATTGTCATTTTCAAAGGAGTTTACTTCGGCAATTTTATATCTCGTATAAACATAGGTTAGTGGAGGTTCTTAACCAACTCATACACTATGAGGTACCCAAACAAGGTGGTAAAATCCTGTTCATTAAAAAAACTAAATTGTTGTGAAAGCTCACAGTTGAAACACGAGTATTTGCCAGAGTCACTGCTACTCTTTCAACATGAATTTCTTCCGCATTTCTCTGACTTAATCAGCGGCCTGAACTTCAGGTCAAACTTGCATTGGACTTGATCTTGTGAAATTGATTTTTCATCTTCAACCAACAAAACCATACCCTATCAATATGCTAACTAAACCCAATCTCATCAAACACCCTATAAACGTCACTATTTATAAACCAAGTGGATATTCTGAGGAGAACGTATTTCATTAAACATTATTCCCTGTTACTCCGTAAATAACAAATAATGATTATCATCCTGTTATTATGATTATAAATTAACTATATAATATAGCTGACTAAAATACAATAACAAGTTTTATTAAATATCAACTGTCGTCGATTTCTTTTAAAATTCTTATCACCATTAATTATTCCTAAATAAAATTGAGTTTCACTCAAGATAAAAACTATGAATCGAATAACAAGGATAAAGCACTTTCAGTGATATCTGACCACTCTATTACAACTAAAATATCTAAATAGCCAAGCAGTGCCAGTATCAAGTTACATCGGAGTGATAAAAAACAATGACCTTCAAAACCAATCAGATAAAGTATTTACAATAGGTACTTGATTGAAACAGTGGACGATTGAGCAAACACAACTTAGAATCACAGAAAGAGCAACACTTTGATCAAATCAAAACAAAACGTGTCTACTTTGGCTAAAACCTAAGGGTGGCCACACAAATTCGCAGTAGAATATAAAACGCTCCAACTGACTTAGCTCACAAAGTTCCAGAGTAATGTAAAAACAAACTTTTAGCTACTGTAAAACTGATTTAATTTTATCTATATGTCCAGGCTTGGAACAGGAGTCATGCAATTAAAAAAATACTGTGAACATGAGTTTGTTTAGGTAGTTGAGTAATTTATGGCACAAATTAGATTTCAAAAACTTAGAATAAAGACACTAATGGAAATAATTCAACCAACTACTTGAATAGCGTTTTACGCAGACTATTAAATAAAAAACGTTTCCAGCACTTTTTGATATATCTGTTGATTACACTGTAAAAATTTGCAAGGCAACAAATTTATTTGTAACAGACGCACAGTCTCTGATTGACCAGTGTGAAAAGTCAATGTTGATTGCCATTGTAACATCTTTTTTTAAATATAATTAGTGTTTGCCATCTGGTAAATTTTATCTGCATAAAAAAGTGATAGAAAGATATTTTTTAATCTATTTTTACTAAATTTTAATTCACCTATCAGGGGTGTGTTTGAGCGCTTTTGAGAGCCTGATGAAAAAATTGCATCATATTCCGTTTTATAGAAAAGAGCATACTTACTTGTTTACAAATCTGGAAATTAAATCACAATTTTATACTAAAAATCACGCATAATATTCCTGTGCGGTAATGGTGCGATTATGTGGCCGCCCTGAGTGGTGGGTAGGAGGGAGGGGGCTAGATGTGAGGTAGCGTGGAGGTGGCCGAGGGCGTAGTACGGTGAGCGTTACACTGCGTCGGACCACACTGACGTTTTCGCCTCACTTTGCTGTAGTCTACCAAGTGAACCGTCTGGTTGCTCATACGCCACCGATTCATGCTTTGCCACTGAAATCTGAGAAACAATGTATGTGATTTTCTGAAAGAGCACACATACTGCACAGAATCTGATATAACAAAACTGTGGCTGGATTAAGAGAGGTTAACTAAAAATTATATTATTTTTAATATAATTTTTGTTAGGTTTCTGCATGTGTTTTTTTGCAATAGCAACATTTATGACGTTTAGAATTATGACTGTCAAATCTGGAATATTTTAATTAGGGTTTCAACCCTGTTGGAAATGTTTACTTATTTTATAAGAGAATAGACCAAACCCTGCACTTGTTACTATCTAACCTACTTATATAGCATAGTCAGTACTACAATTTGAAAGAGTTTTTCCCATTTTCAAATCCTTCATTACCAAACTTATCCAATATTAACTTCTGGATGGTTCAAATTGGTTTAACTGCAGTGGCAGCGATAAGAACCCGCGGGCCTCCCCCACAAGTTTGTTCGCCGGGCCCCCCTCTCCCAAAGATCTTTAAAAACATTTTCCCATGTATTACCGCCTAAACTTGCAATTTTGCAATAAACTTGACAAGGCATCTCCCGAGGCGTCATTATCGTCTTCCATGATCGCGGCAAAATCGTAAATACATCCCGTAGTCATAAGTCACGGAAGAAACATTATCATAGTTTACCGTGATTGCAAATGCAACCAAACCTATGACATCATTAGATAGCAGCATCATCGTCTCCCGCGTTCGTGGCCCAATCTAATATCACGGCCTAATATCTCCCCGCGACCCGTCGGTGGTGACGGGTAAATAATTTTTCCGTAATCGCGGTTAAATCCTAGATATATCTCTCGCTAAAAAAGAAACGTCATTATCGTCTTCCGCAATCGCGGTAAAATATTGAACATCTGCGGCCGCGGAGACATCGTCATTGTCACCCGCGGGGAAATGTTCTCGTTGATATCGCGGCAAAAGCGTAGGCCTAATCTTTCAATTTCGTGAGCGTGATCCTCACGGATATAAGAGCTTTTACTTTTAATTGTAGCCGTTGGGGGGGGGGGAACTGATTAATAGTGATTGATTGGAGGTGTAAGACTAAATTAAGCGTGCTGTTTCTGCTACCAAATTAATTAATGAAAGGCGTGTTGGGGACCAGAGGACGGAGATCTTTTACCCAGACCGGAAGCTTGCATAGCCAGCTTTGATTTATGCTGGAAATGACTATTAATGAAATGATTGACTGGTGATTGAACTACATAAATAGGAAATGCCTAACAATTATTGAAAAGAACTATGGAAACAACTGGTGCAGAGCGTGGTTACGATCCACGGACCTCAGTATTCCACCGGGCTGGTCTGAACCTTCAGCCTTCCACATCTGGAAGCAAATCATCCGAAAGTTCCCTCACACACAAAAAAAGACAAAAACAAAAAAAAAACAAACACACCTATGATACCCTTCTCCAACCTTTAGCAAAACTGTTTTTTATGGCTTTTCTTTCCTCGAAGGGGGGGTGGTTGTGGCGCATAGCGGCACGCTATATTTCTTATAGTGTCAGCGCTTCGTGTGGCAGGGCTGCATGGCGAACTCGTCAGCCCACCGCGAGCAAGCGAACTTCAAGATCTTCATTTAAATTTGTCTTTTTCTAATTTTTTTGAGCTGGTAACTTTCCCTCAATTGTACTGTTCTTGTTGTATTTTGTTGTAACTTTTTAGTTATAGTTTTTATAACTTATTGATTGACCATGTATCTGTTCACCATTGCCTTTGTAATGAAAAATGTTTTATGCAATAAAATACTTATGACTTATGACTTGGGAATTGCCTCAACTGCAAGAAACTGTAGTTGAAACAGCTGACAAAATTCTTTAATCTATCTATCTATGTATATATTAATTACGTAAGCCGATTCTTTGTGGCAAAATTGTGGGCGACTGAGAAGTCGTAGAATGATGGGAGAGGGCTCAAATTAAAGGTCTCGACCCCGTGACGGTGGGAAAAATAGTGAAATTCCCATAAAGTTACCAGAAAACGAGATATAACGTAAAATGTTCTCCATAAGAATAGCATTAGAAGCCATTTACTGCTGATTTTGTTTACTACAATACAGCTGATCGTGATTTATCATTAAGAAACTAAGCAATATTACATTTGGATTACTCATTTGCCAGTCAATTCTGCAATGTAATGTATACTATATAAAACCAACTATATAAAGGGATAACGTTACCCATAATAATCAAGACTTTTTAGTTATGTCAAAGTTGAAATAAATTGTTTTCAAGATTAATGAAACAATTCCAGATTAAATGAAGATCTTTTTGTTTTGATTTCAAAACATATGTTAACAATTTATTCCACACTTTTTTGTAAATTTAGTAACATTTATATTTGAGATTTATTGTTTAATCAATATTTATTGTTTTATTGATTTATTGTTTTATTGATTTATTGTTTAGTGTTTAATCAATATTTTGTATGAAGTGGAATAACCACAGAAAACAATTTGGGAAAAAGATGAAGTAGGTTCGTACAGGTATTTGTTCATTAAGTACTTAAGTGCTTTGTTGCTCCAAGCAAAAAAGGTTAAAATAATAAAGCATAGCATGCACGGTAGTAAAGGGAGAACCTATATATAACAGTAGAACATAGAGGTAAATTCCGTTTCTTAAAAGTAACCAAAAATATTTATGTCGTGATTAGTTTGATAATGGTTAGTTTGATAATGTCGTAACTGGGTAATGGAACCATATGATAACCAGTTGCAAAATAGTTAGTAATTAGACGTTGGATTAGGCCCATTTTTTGGTAGAATATGTAAATCAATCGCACCTTTAGGAGGATTACCACCACATATACTTACACTAGGCTAATAGTGTTTTTTTTAAATGTTGATCAGAAACAAATTTAGGGTTAAAAGGTCTGCCAATGGGATGCCTTTTCTTAAGACTAATTTTGTTAAACCTTTACAAAATGAGCATAGACTTAGGAATAATAACTGGGTAGGGTAGGAATGCTAATTTAGCGGTTTTGACCAAGAACTAAGTTTATTTCAACACACAATTTTTTGCCTTTTCCTATTTGACGAAAACAATTTCCAATACTGTATTTCAATCGGGGAAGCCTTTTTATCAACATTAACCAAAAAAACCAAAGCTACCTTAATAAACTAATATTTATTCATAAACATGTTTGCTGCCTTTAGCAGTTTTTTTTACACAAAAGATATGTTGTACTGGGATATCTATCCTGACACATATATAATTTGATTCTGAGTTCGTTTAAATATTACAATAATTTCTTTTCCATTTGAGCTTTTTAGGGACTTATGTCCCTACAAGCCACTAGTTCCTTTTAAATATCATAAGGTTAAACTCATAATGTTAACATGGGAGACTCCAGAGCCACTGGGGTGGAGCCCGAAAGGATTTTTGAGATAAGAATATGTCTATGTGTTAATCGGGAATGTGAGCTATCACCATACCAAATTTCAGCCCAATCTAACCAGTAGTTAGTGTGTGATTGAACTTCAAACAAACAAACAAACAAACACCAACTTTCACATAATATTAGTAAAATTATTAAATCAAGAGAAAAGAAAATTAAATGTCAACTTAGTGATGGACAAGACCCGAAACTTCGAGATTTTTTCGAGATTTATTTTATCTCGAAGCTTCGGGCGGGATTAAAATGCTAACGGGATATTTTCGAGACGAGATTAAAAAAAAAAATTAAAAAAAAAAAAATTTTTTATTTAAAAGATTTTTTAAACTGCTAAATTTTTTAGCAAAACGTTAATTGCAAACTTTTAATTTAAAATTTAAATTTAACAAAAATTAAAATAAAAACAAATTTAAAAATTAAAAACAAAAATTTTAAAATATTTTTGAAATTTTAAATTTAAACAAATTTTAATTTTTTGTTAATTTAAAACATTTGAGTTTTTTTGCTAAACGTAATTTGCAAACCTTTAAATTTAAAATTTAAAATTTTTAAAAATTTTATTAAATTTAAATTTAAAAAAATTAAATAAAAAAGATCAATTTCAAATCAAAAAAAAATTTAAACTGCTAAGTTTTTTTGCAAAACGTAAATTGCAAACTTTTAATTTAAAATAAAAAAAATAAAAAATTTAGAAATTAAAAATTTAAATTTTTAAAAATTTTAAATTAAAAAAATATATTTCAAAAATTAAAATTAAAAAAATTTAAATTTTTAAAATTTTAAAAAAACTAAGTTTTTTGTGAAACGTACATTGCAACCTTTTATTTAAAATTTCAAAAAAAAAATAAAAAAAAAAAAATTTTATAAAAATTTTAAAATAAAAAAAATTGCAAAGGCGTTTATTTAATTATTTATTCTTTACAAGGAAATATTGCTTCAATCATTTTATTTTTTTTTTGCATAGCAAATGAAAAGTTTTGTTAGTGTAAGCAGTGTGAGACATGTTTTACTACTGTAATCATATAATTTACTCCAAAATCATTCTATTAATAACACAAGACTTAAAATTGTTACTTGATACTTAACTAGTAATACTGTTGTTTTTTATATTTTGCAAAGTTGAACTATATTATACCAACTGACATCTCCATGTTACCTATGCCGAAGAGTTATTTTTAATAAGTTAGGCCTTATTCGTTTCTTTTATATAGGCTACTGATGTTTTTATCAATGTTTTCAATAAAATATATTAAATATTTTTGTCTATTTTTTGCCAAGTTCTTAGAACTTGTAAATATATCTGAACTTAAAAAGTAGATATTAATTTTTTATAACTTTTCATTAAATCTCGTCCCGAAAAAAAATCTCGTCGCGCGGGAATTAAAAAAATCTCGTCTCGTCTCGTCTCGAAGTGAAAAATCTAGTCTCGTCCATCACTATGTCAACTTAACTTGGCAACTTATAGAGACACTTAGTGCCCTAATTAGCAACACAAGTCAATGTTTTTAAACTGTAAGTCAATGTTTTTAAAACTGCAGGGTCTTTTTCTCGGAAGGAATGGTAGTAGGAAGTAAACAAACTATAAATCACTCTCACCAGCCAGATCCTGAGACACTCAAGGTTATAGACCCTCCCCCTTTCATCTTACACCACCCCTTTGCTCAAATGGCTGACAAAATTGTGTAACGAAACTATAAGGAAGTAGAGGCAAAAAGATAATTTCTTTATTCAAAATCATAAAACAGTTACAGATTATTTACAAAGAAGTTAATTCATAGAAATATGCTTTTTGAAACCCCATCTAACTTACGAAAAAAGTCATTTTACTGTTGTAAACTTTCAAAAAATTATAAAACACCTCTTCGTTGAGTTACTTGCTGATGCCAAACCGGATGGAGATGATCAGCATCAGAAGTGCTGTTACTGAATGACAAAATGACACTAGGATAATAAAAGAGCAAGATACAGGTATGTACACTTCATCAGATATTTCTTTTCTTTATAATTTATTATGTAAAATAATAAAATATATTTTTAATAAGGTATGGAATAAACGATAAATAATTAAACTAGTACCTTTGGATAAATAGTCTAGTCAACTGTTATACTTAAGGTAATGGTAATAGTAATAGTCTTTCTTTTTACTTTGTTTTCTTTGCAATGTTGTGTCATGGTTATTATCAGTCAACGACTGGCTGATATCTGTAGACGAATGGTCTAAATACAATGCTCTCTTATTTTTAAGTCGTATAATACTGTATCCAGTATGCATTTAAACGGTCCGTTTTAATGGATTTTTTGGAAAGTCGGTTTAACCGGAAAAACTTTATCCGAGGAGTCCGGATAAGAGGGAGTCTACTGTACACAGAATTAACATTGTTCATATAGTTCATATTAACACTTGAGTCATATAGTTCTCCTCAGATTTGAGTCATAACAGATAAATCTTACTTGTAAAACAATGCCATAGTGAAGAGAGATAAATGTGTTTTGTGAGTACAAAGATAAGTAACAAGATAACGGGCTCATAGCTATGTTGAATCACTTAATGTATTTGATCGATATATTACATAATCTCTTAAAACATAATAAAATGACTGGCAGATTAGACACTAAGACCAATCATTTTGCCAATTACTTTTAGCTATTAGCTTAATATTCTAGGTTAACATTTCAGAACAATGTACTCCTCATTGACAACTGTATGTAAATGTATTTTACATCTAGGTATAAAAAATGTACATTAATGTACATACATACATTTACACCTACATACATTTACACTTACATACATTTACACTTGCATACATGTATTATGTACATTACATGTATGTAAAATATGTATGTAAATGTATGTACATTGTACATACGCTCCATCATTTACATACTTTTTCAAAGCAGGTAAATTGTAAGGATAATTTAACTCAGGTCTGCTTATAATTTTTTGAATACTACTCCTACATGAGTTATACTTAAAAATAATTTATTAACTACCTAGTTCCAAAGTTTTAAATTTTCTCAACGCCTAGAGTTTGTTATGCAGCAATAGTAGCTTCTTTTCTCACAGCTTGAAATTCCACTAGAGTTTGACCACATGTGCTTTTTTTCCACACAGTAAATGTACATTCTTTACCCACTGCTTGAATTCCCAGCTGACCCCATGCTTGTGGGAACACACAGTACAGTATTCACGTGATTGCTGAATAGTGAACAACAAATATAAATGAATGAAAACAGTGCTTTATAAAAAAAAAAAAAAAAAAAAAAAAAAACAATAATCCTTACAAACTTTAGTGATCAACAAATATGAATTCATTCAAAGCAAGTCTAAACAAATATGAAATAAATGCTTTGTGTGTGTTGTTGCTTCACTTTTAAGTATTTTCATACGCCCCAAAACAAATCTATCACAGGATTACACCATAATATTTTGGAGACTGTTAAGTTTAAAATAAGATTATATTTATGACCTAAAAACGTTGAAAGATTAATTGAACTGTAATCAAGTGTTTTTCAACCTTTAAATCAATAAAAATCTGTATGCTACCAAAACAATCAGAGAAAACAGTCTGATCAGATCTGTCAATTGATATTTCAACACACAAGTTCTGATTAAGAAATCACCAGGTAGTGTATTACTTCAAAAAAAAATTACCTCATAAGAAAGTTTGCTAAGCATAGCGGAGCTGCTTGTTTTTTTTATTTTTTCTTTTTCAAAAAAGAGGTTGGCGGCATTTTTTAATCTTGCATTTACCCGTCCACATAGACTACAGATCTGTGCGTGGAACAGATCCAGCAAAGCAAGGGGTTAGCCGGTACAGTACCAAGGTGAACTGCACTGATAAAATGTTTTCGGCAGTGACCAGGATCCGAACTCAGGACATCGCACTTTGGGCCCGAAGTCTGTGACCTACCAACTGAGCCACCGACTCACCTACAAGTGCTTTGTAACCATGAATCTTTATAAAAAAGCTCATGATTGCCTGATCACTTTTTTTTTGACGGAGGACATTTAAAAGAGCTTTTTTAAATGTTGTGAATAAAGATCATTTTTACCTGACAGTGGTGAAACCCCACAGGAAGAAGGTAAACAGCACGATGAGACTGAGAAATGCAAGCCCGACTCCTTCCCAAGCACCTCTGTGAAGATACGCCAGAGAACCCATCCCACACAGATACACCGAGGTGAGGCAGATAGGTGTCAACAGGATGAGACACAGAGCATCCCCGCAGAATCCGTGAGGCCCATCACGACTCTGTCTGCTGAACAACCACTGTAAAACAGATAACAGAATGAGACACAGAACATCTCCGCAGAATCACCAAGGTGAGGCAGATAGGTGTCAAAAGGATGAGACACAGAGCATCCCCGCAGAATCCATGAGGCCCATCACGACTCTGTCTGCTGAACAACCACTGTAAAACAGATAACAGAATGAGACACAGAACATCTCCGCAGAATCACCAAGGTGAGGCAGATAGGTGTCAAAAGGATGAGACACAGAGCATCCCCGCAGAATCCATGAGGCCCATCACGACTCTGTCTGCTGAACAACCACTGTAAAACAGATAACAGAATGAGACATAGAACATATCCGCAGAATCTGTGAGGTCCATCACGACTCTGTGTGCTGAACAACCACTGTAAAACAGATAACAGAATGAGACCCAGAGCATCTCCACAGAATCCGTGAGGCCCATCACGACTGTCTGCTGAAGAACCACTGTAAAAATTATATCAGAATGAGACCGAGAGCATCTCCGCAGAATCTGTGAGGTCCATCATGACTCTGCCTGCTGAAGAACCACTGTAAAAATTATATCAGAATGAGACCGAGAGCATCTCCGCAGAATCTGTGACTTAGTAGGGTGACTTTGCCCAGTGAATGACCGTTTCACTCTAAATCATCTCTATAATAAGAGTTAAATTAAGACAGGAATGAAACAAAAATAGTTTGGACAATAGATATTACTCTATTCTTCATATTTATTCGTCATTTTTTTATTATTGTTAATAATTTATGTTTATTAGCGAATTTCCCTATAGGGAAGTAGCTATTACCGTAGGTCTCATGGTAAGACTTAGGCCCGGGACCGATTTACTTTTTCATTTTGATGTCCCCAGAGGCCAAAAACACCATTCGTTCAAATTTTTATATATGTATATATATATATATATATATATATATAGATTTATATATATATGTGTCCGTGAACACGATAACTTGAGTAATTTTTATCCGATTTTGATGAAATTTGGTTTGAAGGTGTAAGGCGGGATAAACTTGAATGAGTTCGCGATCCAGCATGATCGGACCATGGGAACAGGATTTTATGGGGGGTTTTATGGGGTAAAAATTGGTTTTTCTCACTTTTGACCCTCAAAACACAAAATTTTCCAATTTTTCTCTAAACCTTCTTAAAGAGCTTAAAAAAAACAAACAATTCAGTATATCAAATTGTTTTTGTACGGTTATTGGTTACGGAGAAAACTAAAAAAAAAATTAAATTTAAAATTCCCATGTTATTCTTATGGAGAATATTGTAAAATGTTGTAGTTTGCTTGTTTATGGATATCTTTTGATCAAACTTGGCAAATATATTCATTTTATACTAAGCAATAATTATTTTACTTAAAACACACACTTTATAAGTTTCCTTGTAGCAGCAAACCTAGGTACTCGTTAAACCTAATGTTATTTAAATAGATCAATTGAAAATCAATTCAGCCAAATGGAAATTCGCTTAGACGGCAGGTTTGCTGCGGCGGGGGTATTTTGATGATTTAACTTGGACATGTTTTGAATTTTCGTTTTTAGCTTCTGACACTATAAGAACTCTGCAGGTAAGGCATATTTCATTAGCCTACCTTATTTTTGTGAAAAAAAAAACTGTTGAATGGCGATTTATTTGGCTAATACCATTTACGATTTATACTAATACCATTTACTACCATTTATTTACTGTATTAAGAATGTATATTACTCTTAAACTATCAGTTTTCATACGTAAGCCAAAAAATAAGATAAGTTTTTATTCAAGCGGTCACATACTAGAACAGATTCCTGGGCTAAACCAATGAATGACCACCCGGTCATTTTTACTGGGTTTGGACAATTTACAATTTACTATTAAAAATTAAAATGATCAGAAATTATTAAGAAATATAATTATCGATATCAGATTAAAACTATAATTCATTTTCTTTGTCCTAACCAGTGAATGACCTTACTGAAGTCATCTACTTATTTTGTCCCAATCCAATATCCTCTTTTGTACTTTAAGACGTTTTTCCATCAGCTAACCAGGCCTGCCTACGTTTTCCTTTTACATTACATGTTAAATGTTATATAATTCTGATTATGTTTTCATGTAGCATTAGGCTTTTTCTTTTAAAATTTGTTAACATTTTTAAACAATATAAATCCCCTTTTTTTATACATTACTGATTTTATAAGTGATTTACTAAACCTTCCGAAGTCGGTCATTCACTGGCATAGGACTGGTCATTCACTGGCATCGGTCATTTACTGGACTCATGACTTTAGTGTACAAAAAAACAATTTTTACATGCGTAGGCCTTTGATTGATCTTTTAGGGACAATTGACGATATAGGGCAAACCCTTAAATAGCAACCAAGAAGTAGGTATAATAATATATACAATTAATACTCTCATTTAAGAGCATTGTTAAGTTGACAAAGAATTTTAACCTTAACCGGTCATTCACTGGGCAAGTCACCCTAGGATCATAGCCGCAAGCCCAGACTATGTTTTATCTGTTAGTGGTGTGGTGTGGGATGCATAAAAATGCATCAATATTTCGAATAATCTAATCTCGATTCAATTCAGCATGCATCAAAATACCGATTCATCCGTTTAGCCTCAATGCATTGATTTTGTCCCGGTGCATCGATTTTGTCCCAATGCATCGATTTTGTCCTGATGCATCAGAAAATCTTATGCAAATGTATTTTATTTAATACATGTCAATAATAATAATAATTGCTTTGGTGTATCTGTTATTCAAATTGTCATTGAAGTCTGGATTTTCTTAAGCTAACCATAAAATAAGCATTGTCCATCAGCAGGAGGTTAGATCAGTAACTATCATCTTGTTCACAAACAAATTTACTAAGTAGTAAGTACATTTATTTGCTATTGTTAAGGTAAATGATAATTTACAGTAATGCAAGTTGTAATATAATTTTGAAAGAAAATCATGCTGTGCTGCATCATGCCATATTGATTCAAATCAAAATTTTCTGAATCACATCAATGTATCAAATCAAGAAAAAAAAATCTGCATGTGATAAGCCTACTGGTTTAAAAGAGTCAGTACCTAAACAAAACTTTTCCCCAATTGATAATTCACAGTCTATTAATTTTAAATGGGCACTAACATTATAGTAATAGTGTATCTCACTAGTAATCCTGGGAGAAAGTGACAAATTTAGAGGCTCAATAGGTGCTACCACACTGGCACTTAAATTAAGAAACATTTGTTTGTTCAGTTAGTTAACTTTGACGGTGCTGTATTAGGTTATCTAAGGATTTGCAGGGAGACATTAATGGACACCAGCATACAATTAAACATGGTATATAGTTCCACATCAATAGAATTATGAAACAGAGGGTTGAAGAAAACAGTATGCTTACAATCATCTATGGTTTTTAATTTGTTACAAAAAAGACGTCAGTTGATTAAATTACCTGTATAATGGGTCTAGGAGTTCGCTGAACTTTGAACTGGAATTTGCACACTTCGCATCGGTCCAAGTTTGAGGTGGAGAGCCACTTTTCCAAACAACAAATGTGCACCACTCCCATGGAGCCCATACAGTCACATGGGGAAATCAGCTCTTCTACACAGTCGCCTGTAACATTTGAAAGTATTTTTAACATCTTTTTACATAACTAGTGAACATTTTAAGTGTCAATTTGTACATTCTTTCTCATGGAGGGACATAAGAGGATTATGCCAGAGTGGTGTGTCAAGACTCATATCAAAGTACAGTAAAACTCCAACTATCCAAATCAATTGGGACTGCTCCACATTCTTAAACATGATAAAAAATTAGGATAACTCGAGGTATTTTAAGGGTAATAGGCCGAGTTATGCTGAGCTTTTACTATTTATTATCGTGATTGCAGAACACGTATGCACAGATTTAAAGATTGAAAAATTCAAGCTTTCACCGTGTTTGCGGGGAAAAAAATCATGATCTTTACATTTCCGTGGCAGACGATGATATTGTCTATTTTATCGCAGAAGGTGTTTAGGATTTTTCCGCTATCACAGAAGACAACACATGTTGTCCTTGTTTGTTGACAAAAGGTCACACATGTTTCCTTGATCACAAAACTTGAGGATTTTGCTGTGATCAAGGCTTCTGTCTTCTTAAATAAAAATTCTATTTACTATACTGTTGTTTTATGTTTTTAAAAATTCTTTTGTATACACTTCGCATAGTAGGAGTTTTACGGTATTATGAAAGGACTCTTAACTTGACACAAATTACGATTTTACACTTACTTTAGGTTAAAATTTGTCTTCTTCCTATATTAAATTCTGACACACGGCTCTTAACCGTTTAAACGGATTGTTAATATCAATTCAGCAACACGGTTGGCGTCGTCCTATAATCCAGCTACTAGGAGGTTACAAATTGTGGATATTTATAGGCATGCACTGTGGATGAGCTAAGCCTACTCCCTGGTGTGGATTAACGTCCGCAAGAGTGAGTACTACAACTATCCGCAGTACTATCCTGAAAATTTGTATATACCAAGACAAAACTGTGGTTCAGATTCCACTATAAACTGGTCCCTTAGTTGCCATTAGCTGTATGGGCTATTAATTAACAGCTGTGTCTAAGGAATAAGTCGGCCTTAGTCACTAACAAGACTACAAGATCGCGCCACTCATCCTACACTCATCTCCATTCATACTTGGCTTAAAATACCTACTTTGTACTTTGTATTATCACCACTTCATTGAAAAGTATTAAAGTATTAAGTATTTACGATTGAAGACTTATCAATCGGATTAGATTCAATAACAAATCATTGTTCACATGTTACATTTATCGACATTTAATAATAGTCTATGGTTTAATAATAAAGAACCGTTACTTAATGACTTTGTTTTTATTTCCCTTGGTGTCCTACCAAGGCCTACTAGAAAAACAAGCCATGCTGCAGGATCCATGACGTCACACTCTGTACCGCATTTCCCGTTAGGCCCACTAGGCCCAGGCCTAGGGCGCCAAATTTTAGGGGGCACAAAACTTTAACCTCTTGAATGAATCCAACGTACGCCCCCGCGCGTCAGACCGGTAGCCCTGCTACCAGCCCACTGACGCACGGGCTCATCCGAGTGTAGTTTGAATTTGCCGCGTGTAGTTAGCAAATTGAAGAAGAAGAAAGATTGCATTGTTTGGTACTGCCGCCGTGTTGGGAATAACCATGGAGGTAAATAGATTATAACTGGAGTCACTACTCTCTGGTTGAACATAAAAACCAGAGAACATAAAAGAAAAAAACATAAAACATAGAACATAAAAAAACGTTCCACTGTTTATGCTGGTTTGTTCTCCGTGTTTTGTAGGTAGGCCTTGGGATCGGTTGGTGGGATGCTGTCAAATTCAATTCATTCTAACCTATCCATGCTATTTATTTGTGGTTATCCGTTATTTGATGGACTTCAACTTATTTATGTTATTGAACGTTAAAACCTGTCAAGTATTTAAAGTTAGGCCTATTTTGAAACATTATGAATTGTTTTTTATGCTAAATACTAACTTATTTTCAAGCTATGATTAATGGTGAAAATAGTCAAGTTTCCTGGTAATTATTTTTAACTACGCCTAGTGTAATTATTTTTGTCAATGCCCTACAGGCCCACCTACTTAACTTATATTGAACCATCGCTGTTGTATTTATGATCTTGTTAAAATGGGTTGCTCGTAAAGTAAATAAATAAACTTATTGCAATCATAATGTTGACATATTTTTTTTTTTACTATCAACAAAACAACAGGATGCCTCTAATTTGAAAAGTCCCACCGACCGATCACACGGCCAACCGATCACACGGCCAACCTAACAACACGAAACCTGAAAAAAACCCAGCAAAAACAGTGGTACGTTTTTTAAACACAGAGTGGTGACTCCAGTTATTATTATAGCTCAGTGGGAATAACCTGCTCTTTTGCGTGTGATATTTCATTTTGCGGCAGTCCCGAGCCCCGACGACATCCCTGCAGCGACTGCCAAAATTCAGCTGTGTAATTCTCTCCTGTTAACTTACCTGTTGAGTCGTTCTGTTTATATGCTTTGTTATGTTAGTAAACACTGTTGAATCGTGCCGGTATTTCGCTTAGAGATGATGAAATAGGTGGATATTTAGATAACGACAATTTACATGATGGTTTGGGACATGAATGTTGTCCATCATAAACGTATTTTGTGTTATTGTGTATATCAGAATAATTATATAATATGGTACAATATGGTATTGTAAATGTTCCACTTCCACATTTTACAAGATTAAGATTTTCTGACGGAAAGTATGTATCATTGTTCAGTTAGTCTCATTAGAGGTGTAGTATAGGGACAGGTCATATGCCAATTACTGCAAAGTTTAATACAATATTATACATTTTACAGGAGTTGATTTAGTTAAAATATCAACGGATTATCCTTGTATATACAACTCAACGATAATGATCGTGACATTATTTACGTTTCGCGACCAATATTACGGCAGGGAGGGCGCAACTGTTTTGTGTGCCTAGGGGCGCCGTTTGGCTAAATGCGGCCCTGGTCACACTTATGGATAGATTTACTGCCATATCCCATTTGTATTAGGTAAATAAGCTGGCTGTTTACGTTTGGCAATTTAAGTACAACTATACTACACTACTGTGACGTAGGGTAGCGTGCACGCCGCGCTGCAGCATGGCCTGTTTTTCTAGTGGGGCCTTGGTCCTACCCAGCTACTTCAAAATGGTGACACAGCCAGTAGCTTTCACAATTGTGTTAGAATAAAAATATAAAAAACTCCAATTAGAATACACAGACACACATTTCGGGGGGCAATATATTCCTTCATTTTTGGTTATTTTAATAATCATATTTCATTTGAGGACTATCAACATGTATTTTAACTAAAATATATCCAGATTTAGGTTTTAACAATGTTTGGGAGTGGATTGCATTGTTATCATATCTCACAGAGGTAATCAGCTGACTATAAAACTGATTACATTAGTGCAATTAATAATGTTATTAAACTCAAAAGAATTATACTGTTAAAAGTACAAAAAAGTCATATATTGATTTATGGTTATAGATTTGATTTAATATGTATGTATTTTATATGTAGAATGCTACATTTAGAAACTGGGGTTTCCAATCTCAAGTCAACGACACTAACAAAGTAAAATCAAGAGATAACTAGCAACAAACGAGGTCAAAACTATGCCTCGTTTGATAATTTTAGCCTAAGCCTACTGCTAACTGTTGCCATGAAAGTAACTTTTAGTATACATTTTATTTATGAATGATGTTTTATTAATGAATAATGGAGTAACAGGGCTGCCGGTACTGCTTTTATAATATAAAATTATTTTTAAGGGTAAAATAAAAATAGAAAACCTGAAGGAAAATAATTAAATAAATATATTCTACACACTTATTGAGTAATTTAACATTTTTTCATTTTATTTGTGTATTAAATGATAGTTTTCTTTTTCTTTCAATAATTTTTTTCTTAAAGCAAAGTATGAATGGAGATGAGTGTGGGATGAGTGGCGCGATCTTGTAGTCTTGTTAGTGACTAAAGCGGACATATTCCTTAGACACAGCTGTTAATTAATAGCCCATACAGCTACTGTAATGGCAACTAAGGGACCTACAGTTTATAGTGGAATCCGAACCACATTTTTTCCTTGGTATTAACAAATTGGTCTAATTATCAGGATACCCTTAGTATGAAACAACAGCCTAACGCTGATATATAAATTAATCGTTATATATTAATTTTTTATAACTTTCAGATTTTAGATGTCACCACTGTTTTATTGTTATGATTACTAATCAATATTGATTTTTTTTCTTTTCTCTTATTTGTTATAACTTTCATATTTATTACAACTTCAATAATTTATATACCACTAATGTTTACTGTCACATTGCTAGTCACATTGTCTTGTCTTATTAATGCCAACTGCTTTTTGTTTTGTTTCATTGTTAAGTCAAGTAATAGATTGGCTTATTACTTTAGGCAGTTTTGTTCCTCTCTTTCCAGTTTTTCTTGTCACACTTCATATCACTCTTCCTATGTTGCTCAGATTTGTATTTCTAGATTGTAAATATTGCAATAATTCAATTGTCAAAGTGGTTTGTTTGCATTGCACTGCACCTGCTTGCTGTCAAATGTATATTTTGTTATCTTGTTAATTTTTTAAAATGCTTGTATGTACTAATCTAAGTCTATATTGTTAACTGGTTGACTAATTGAATTGAATTAAATTTAATCGAAAATTGGTGGGAGAATTAAGGAAACCTTCCCCTTAAGCTGTTTAAATATTGTGAACAGACTCTAAGGTAAATGTTATTAAACAAACTCGAGTTTGGCATAATTCCCGACAGGTGAAAAACAAAACATGTAGCTTAGTCTACCTTCAAGGCAGATTCTGCAGATGCTGCCTGACGCGGAGCTGGAAATGCTTTTATTCATCGGGGAGTTTGAAGCTAGAAGAGACATAGGATAGGGCCCCATTGCCGAGGTCCTTACTACCATCACATCTTCTGGAATGTTGTCTGGACCCATAGTAGAATCAGACTGTAGAAAGACATTAGCGAATGAATAACAATTAGACTACAATAAATGTTTTAAAAATCTGGAAGTGAGGCAGAATGCAGAATGTGTTAATAGGCCTACTTGACACCTGCTCTGATGATGACTTTCTGCAACGAGGCCATTTATTCCCTATTTAAATAGAATTAGTTTAACGAGTACTTTAGTTTTGCTGCAACAGGGAGGGTAAAAGTGTTTTTTATGTAAAATGTAATAGCTTAGTAAGAAATAAATGCATTTTCCAAATTTGATCAAAATATGTTCATAAACAACACAACAGTTTTCTAATTCTCCATAAGAATAACATGGAAATTTTAAATTTACAATATTTGGGATTTTTCTCCGTAACCATTAAGCGCATAGTAACGACTCAATGTACTAAATTATTTGCTTTTTAAGCTCTACAAAATGGTTTAGAAAGAAATTGCTAGGTAAATTTTATGTTTTTTGGGTAAAAAATGGGAATAACCTACCCCACAAAACCCCTGTTTCCATAGTCAGATCATGCTGGTTCGCGAACTCATTTGAATAAATGTAGGTTTTGCTCCAGTTATCGTGCTAACGAACATATATATATATATACTAGTGGCATGTAGGTCCCTAAAAAGCTCAAATGTAAAACAAATTACAGTAGAACCCCTGATATCCGGCCTTGGTTTTACCGGTCCTCTGTTTATCCGGCCACTTCCAGGAAGCCAATATCAAAATGTTTTTCTCAAAGCTTACAGACGTTTAGAAGCAAGCACTAGTCTTTGCGACTTGTCTGAGCTAAACTATTTATCTGAACTATTTATCTGTTTGTTTAGATACATTTTACTGTGCCACTAAACTCAGTTGAGCTAAGCCTAACCTCTAAACAGTTGGTTGATTAATTACAAATGGGGATTGGGAAATTAATCTTTTGTATTTATTTCACAAAATAGATAAGAAAGTTGAGTAGAAATGTATTTACTATTTAGGCCCTAAAAATCTTCATTGCCAATTTATTGTAATTTTTACTTCCATTATTTGATAGTTTTTGTTACCCGAAATCTTAATACTCGTATGTTCATTCCTTTACAACTTTAACCTTCAAATAAATATTTTTTTTTTATTTGTACGAACATGTTAATTCTTCTAAAAATAATCCTAGAATAGACTTAAATGATACTTTTGACAGCATGTATTGATTAAATATTATTAGGTATGAATTATTTTCATTTTCATAGTTGGTTGGTTTATCCGGCCAAATCGCTATCCGGCCAGGGGCTTGGTCCCGTGGTGGCCGGATATGAGGGGTTCTACTGTATTGTAATATTTAAACAAACCCAGAAATAAATTATCAATGTGTAAGAATAGAAATCACTGCACACCATATTATTATTGTTTGTGTAAAAAACAGGTGGTTGTTTGTCTTTGTTTGCTTTTGTTGATGAAACTTAGTCCATTATAAAGTCATATTTACCATAACCTCATTCTTAAAACTAACAAAATTAAAAATAGGCTATAATCATATATGTAAAAATAAAATTTAAGTAGAAAATCTATCTATATATATAATACGTGAAGCCATTTTTTGTTAACGCAACTCCTCCCTTATTTGTGGACCAATTTCAACGTTTAAGGTGTCAAAAGATTCGTCTCAATATGAAGTTTTGCAATAAGGTTTTAGAATTTTAAAATTCCTACTCTGAAGGGCGTGAGACCCTCTCAAAGGTCGGGTTTTCCCCATAAGAAATACATAGGAGAAATTTAAATACCCCCGCCGCAGCAAACCTGCAGACTAAGCGAATTTCCATTTCCCTGAATGGATTTACACTAAAATGTCTCTTTAAAAATATCATATTTATTCCCTATTTAAAAAGAATCTGTTTAAAGCATACTTAGGTTTGCTGCAACAGGGAGGATATTAGTGTTTTTTATGTAAAATGTTAATAGTTGGTAAGAAATAAAAACATTTTCCAAATTTGGGCAAAATATGTTAATAAACAAGCAAACTACAACAGTTTACTTATTCTCCATAAGAATAACATGGAAATTTTAAATTTAAAATTTTTTGGAATTTTCTCCGTAACTATTAGGCGCATTATAACGCTTCAATATACTAAATTATTTGTTTTTTTAAGCTCTACAAAATAGTTTAGAAAGAAATTGCAAAATTTTATGTTTTTTGGGTCAAAAATGGGAAAAACCCATTTTTACCCCATAAAAGCCCCCATAAACCCCCGTTCCCATGGTCCGATCATGCTGGTTCGCGAACTAGTTCGAATAAACGTAGGTTTACACGTTTGTACAAAATTTCATCAAAATCGGATCATTTTTGCTCGAGTTATCGCGCTAACGGACACATATATATATGAATTTGAACGGATGGTGTTTTTGGCCTCTAGGGACCTCAAAACAAAAAACAAAATCGGTCCCGGGTCCAGGTCTTACCATGAGTACTACGGTAATAGCTTATTCCCTATATGGGAAATTCGCTAAAATCCAAAAACAGCTGTTTATAAAAAGAAACTCATTAGCTTTTTGGGAGTAAATATTAATGTTTGTAATATTCAGTAGGTTAAGACCAAGTTAAACCGGTAATCAGTTTTGTAGGAAGAACAGAAAATGCCTCAAGTTCAAAGAAGAAATATTGAAAACTTGAGTAGGAGACAATTAATAATAAGATATCTTATGCGTATGAGGAGAGTAGAAATAGAGAGGCCTGGTCTAACGGACACCCATCCAGATACACATTCACTTGGTGATATCCTACTAATCCTAGGTACTAATATTATAAATGAGAAAGTTTGGATGTATGGATGTATGTTTGTGACAAGTGAACGCGAAAAATACTGGTCAGATTGGGCTGAAATTTGGCATGATGATAGCTCACATTCCCGATTAACATATAGGCATATTCTTATTTCAAAAATCCTTTCGGGCTCCGCCCCAGTGGCTCTGGAGTTTCCCATGTTAACCTTATGAGAAATGGAATTATTGAATCTTAACAGCTGTTTCAATTAAACAAGTTGGTTCTGTTCTATGATGTTCAATAGCATTAAAGTTACAAGGATTACCAACAGGGTGCAGCACTATTATTTCTTTTACATTTATGACAACAGCTAATTTGCAACAAAAAGGTGAGTGAGCGTAGCGAACAAACTTCAACCTGGAGGCGAGTTAGCGTAGCGAACGAGCTAACCTGAAGGCAAGTGAGCACAGCGAATGAGCTCCAACCTAAAGGTGAGTGAGCGTAGCGAACAAACTTCAACCAGGACGTGATTGAGCCATGGGAACGAGATAATCTTGAAAATGAAGAAGTTTTAAACGGGGCAAAGCCCGCGGGTTACAGCTAGAGAACAATTTGAATTAAAACGGAGAAACAAAAAAATCTGTAATAAGGCTTCAAAATGTTGTTAGGCCTAGATTTGTTTTATGCAGCATGCAATTGCTGATTACTTTTCCACAAAATCAGCTGACATGGCATGTAAGTTATTAGGGTAATCTTAGTGAGGTCGGGGAGCATACTGACGAGCAATGATGGGCTGATTAAGTAATTTTGAAAGTTAATCTTTTGGTTTGTATACAAGTAAAAATACTGTTTTAGTAGTATTTGTATGCTGTTTAAAAATAGTGTGTAGAATAACTCACACGAAGCCAGTAGGTGGGCAGATTACTTCGCTGAGGTTGAAATAGGCCTACCAAGAGGCAGGTAACCCCCTCTGGGCTATAGAATACAGGGGCTGGCTCACGTCAACTAGCAAAGTGGTCCCACTGCCGTTTGGCTGTGACGTCACCGGGCTGCCTCCACGGGTGTAGCTAGTGTGCGGCACATATACAAACCGCTCATTTAAACGCTTCCCTAAATGTACACAATTAAATTGTCCGTATGAAACTTATATCGTTGTAATGTGCATTAACTACAGAATCTGATGGTCCAAAAATATTTTAGTTATGATCAATAATATGTTTTTTTAAAAGGGGAAAATTATGAGGATTACAAACTTGTGAACTACAAAAAGTCACTAAGCGGGGATTTTTTTAATATTTGGGATAGGAACAAACTTTGGGCGAGAAAAATATTCATTAATAGTTCTACTTCAATAATTAGCCTGAAATTCTCGATAAAACCAACGGGTCGTTTATTGCTTTTCAGGAAGCTAGGCTTTATAAACTTGGCGATCACATTACACCGTTCCGCACATGTCCACATCGTGCTGTTTATAACAAGATCGTAAAAAAATGTTATGATCGTGATAAAACAATTGCACTGTTTCTATTAGTGAAACATGTAATTACGGTAGTGCTAAAACTGAATTTTAAGAATTGTGTAGACTTAAGGCTTAGAATGTTATTTATCTTGTTTGATATTCCGGTACCCCTGGTCATATATTCTAATACACTTGGTTGGGTATCTTTTAGGAATGTGTAATGGTTTAGGTAATTTTATATTGTCTGTTGAACAAAGTACTTATTCGTAGAAAATAAGTACCTAAAAGATCGTTTTAATGCGATATTATTTTTATTATAATAGTTGTAGGCCTATCCTATTTTGCTGATTTTAGCCACTTAGCCTACTCATCTTCTGATCATTTTTCTTCTATATTCTTCAGAAACAAACAGAAGACGCGAATAACAATGAAAGAGCGAAGTTGATTTCACGCGTATTTGATGCAGTGTTGCCATAACAACAACCTAAAATTTGCGAGGCGAGCAGCAAAATTACCCGCCAGCGCTCAGTTGTAACAATCGTCTTTTGAGACGATTTATTAATGAACTGTTAGGGCTATTTAAGAATTAAGTAATTACTATGAAAGAACTGATTGACTACAGTTTTCTCGCTGAAAGTTTGTGCCTAACCCGAAAATTAAAATGTTCCTCGCTTAGTGACTTTTTCAAGTTTCATTATTGTAGTTTCTCTACGTTTGTTGTTATAAAACCAATTTACTTGTGATAAACTAAAAACTGTTTGGATATTTGGATTCTACAGTTAATGCAGAATAAAACGATACAAGTATCATATGAGAAATATGTTTGTACAACGGTAGGGGAGCATGTAAAAGAGTGAGAATGTCGCTGGCCGCGTAATGGAAACAGGCCCGACTGTCAGCCCGGTGACGTCACAGGAGGTGGGGGAGCGGGGCCGTGTCGGTAAGTGCTACATCAAAGACGTGAGCTAGCCCCTGTATTCTATAGCCCCGCAGGTAACCTTCCCCTCATCCTGACTGTCCTGTGTCTGTAATGGCTTTGTATAAACACGGCTTACCTTTAGGCCTATCTGCTGAAATTTTCATTCATTTGTAGCTTGGGCAGGCCAAATTTAACTTAACCCGTCTTCTCTTTTCTTCTGTTGATATGGTAATTTAGACCTAGACCCAATTAAAGAGAAACCCACAGCCTTTGCAGCTTGATAATTTATAAAATGTTGATTCATTGAAATCTGCCTAGCAAGATTAAACTATGATTTTAAATCCCATTTGTGTGATAAATGAAAATAAGAAGTAAAATATAGGTAAATTAATAAGGAAAACAGTAATTTAAATGCAATTATTCACCTGCAGGTCAGTGGACATAGTAAGGCAACTCGATGATTGGACTTGCAGTTTTTCGGTTTTATAGTTTTTGCTCTCACTAAAACTTGGTTGGTAATAGTCATTTATATGTGTACGATTAATATCGTTCCCGATATCAGGAATAAACAGGCTCGAAGCGCCAGCAGGGCCAGCAGTTCTTTCTTCTGATCCAGTCCTGTCATGATTGCTAACCTGAGTCTGATTTTCAGTTTTTGACATTGCAGTCACTTTACAAACACTGGTTTATCTTTCAAATTATAACGCCACATATATTTGTTACCATTAGCTAATAAAACAACACATTCTTTCAATCTAAATACTAAGACTACAAAATGTTTACGTGAGCAGTATGTATGCCTATTGTTCTGTTCTGCTCAAAATGAATGGATTGGATGGATGGGATGGGATGGGGAATGGAATGATTGCTAGTACTAACAAATAACACAGACGGCAAAAGTGAATCAGCTGATCTGGCAACTTTTTGTTGTAGTTTAGAGGGGATTTGAATATCTTTAAGCCATTGATTTTGTACTATAAATGAGGTATAAGCTATAAATTTGTTTTAAATCTTAGTGCTTTAAAGTTTAATAAACGTATTAACTTGGGCAACCAAAGTAGTGCACCTGTGAACATTTCTCAGGTTCGTAGGCAAATAAATCTTGATTTCCTCTGTAAATTACTGGTTTCTGCCATTAAGACAACTTCAAATTCAAAACTTCTTTATTTGTTCCATGTACAGCAATACAATAAATAGCGTCACAGTTCCTTAATCTAACTCAGTACATTGTTGAATTGTTCGGTTATGAAATTTACAGTTATCTACATACATCAGCATTCACATCAGTTAAATTGTACAACTCTTCAAGAGACTAAAATGCATTTCTGATCAAAAAACTTTTGAGTTCACTTTTGAACTTGTTTTGATTTTCTATGGTCAATATTTCTAATGGAATATGTTTAAAAAAACAGAACCGGCATAGGATGGTTTCTTTTTATATAGCTCAAAATTATGAAAAGAAGACTATGTTTTTCTTTAGCGAATTTTCCTATAGGGAAGTAGCTACCGTAGGCCTCATGGTAAGACCTAAGCCCGGGACCGATTTACTTTTTCATTTTGATGTCCCCAGAGGCCAAAAACACCATTCGTTCAAATTTATATATATATATTAATAAGCGAAATGATAAAAACCAGAGTACCCTGAAATTCATTTTTATTTAAACTGATACGTATTTCGGCACTAAGGCCATGATCACAGTACTGTATGAGCTATATCTCATACTGTGATCATGGCCTTAGTGCCGAAATACGTATCAGTTTAAAAAAAAAATGAATTTCAGGGTACTATCTGGTTTTTATTATTTCGCTTATTAATTGAAAAAGTAGCCCTAAAAAGTGAACAGAACTATCAAAATATATATATATATATATATATATGTGTGTGTGTGTGTCCATCCGCACGATAACTTGAGTAATTTTTGTCCGATTTTGATCAAATTTTCGAACCAGCATGATCGGACTATGGGAACAGGGGTTTATGGGGGGTTTATGGGTAAAAATAGGGTTTTCCCATTTTTTACCCTAAAAACACAAAATTTCACAATTTCTTTTTAAACCATTTTGTAGAGCTTATAAAAAAAACAAATAATTTAGTATATTGAAGCGTTATTATGCGCCTAATTGTTATGGAGAAAATTAAAAAAAATTGTAATTTTAAAATTTCTATGTTATTCTTATGGAGAATAAATCAACTGTTGTAGTTTGCTTGTTTATGAACATATTTTGATCAATTTTGGAAAATACTTTTATTTCTTACTAAACTATTATCATTTTATAAAAAAAATCTTTTTTACACTCCCTGTTGCAGCAAACCTAAGTACTCGTTAAACTAATTCTATTTAAATAGGAAATAAATGTGCTATTAACAAGAAAATAAATAGTTAAAAATCAATGGAAAAACACAGAACTATATACAGAAACAAAAAGTGGGGTACTTAAACAAAGTGTTTGAAAGACTACAGTTGACTAGGGACTAAAGTAAGAACTAAATAACAATTTTACCATTACAATTGTGTTCTGCAAAAAAATCATCCAAACTGTAAAAAAACTGTAAATAGCATCAGCATGCCCATTCCAGCAAATGGAGTCGGCGTGGATTGCTACACTGATGTGTTCTCGGCTTGACAAGAAGGTGCTGGCGCGGTTGTGCTTTTTCAAGGGAAAACCTTCTCATTGGAGTAGGACCCAATAGGCTATTAAGCAGAAGTCACTGCCATGTTTGGTTTGTACCAGATAAAAATCTCATAAAAGTAACAAAAACTGTGTCCATGCCAAAAGTCAGGCTACTCTGAAAGCTCTCTTGTTAAATGAGTTGAACCATATATGTTGAACTCACCAGAGAGCTCTTTTGGATTGTCTAGCCGCTTAGGAGAAGCAAGACTTTTTATTGATTTTTTTTAATTTGGCGGTTTCGGGTATTCTAGTTTTGTTAGTAGAGGTGGGGATTTTTTTTTTACATTACTTCAGGCTAGACCTACAAGGGGTTGCGGTATCATCACTTAAATAAAATCCATTGGTGAATTGGTGGGATTTGAACCCGCGGGACCTCGGGAACCAAAGTCCCACGTTTAAACCACTAGACCAGCTCGCTCCTCCAAGCTGGGGATGTTGGAAAGCCTAATTGAGTTTGAAGTTTAGTCTTAAACTGTTAAAAATACCTCCGCTGTACTTATTTGTTATTCTTTCAATTTTAAAATCTGGGATTGACGAGCTGGTGGCCCGTCCTACGTACGGGAATTAAGTTGTCAACTAAAACGGAATAATTCAGAACATCTATTTTACACGCATAGACACAAATTCTGGCAGTTTTAATGGGGAAGATCACCTTATAAACAAATGTAGCGTGACCACCTATTTATTCCATTCGAATATAGACCTAAAATATGGCGATATGCATTTTAAATCCGATAATTTTACCGGAGTAGAGTAGCTACATCCCACCTCTGTACTACTTATACTGTATTGTGCATACTGTACTACTTATGTACTTACCGTACCTTATCTTACCTCCGTGACCACTGAAACTTTTATGAGGATTCTCTTCTATCACCTGCCTCTTCAAACTTTAGATCCCAGTCTGAGGATGCATTTCATAACTTGATATTTCCCGTCTATCGTGTGGTACTCCTTTGGAATATACTTTTTAAAAGTTTATGCATAACCTGTCCATCCAAGCTTAACCTACTTCTGGAAAGCATCCCTATATTTGGGTGTTAACACATTTCTCTTATCTCTCTGTTCTTTTTTATTTCGACCTCCGGGTCGTAATCTAGAACTGGTCTGTATATTTTCTCTGCACTTTATTATCTAACCCAGCATTAGGGTTTTTCGGTTCTTTGGTCAGTGCCCAAGTTTCTGAATCATCAGTACTACGGGGATAGTTGGTATGGTATGAGTCGACTTTGGTTTCTGCTGCAGTTTATTTGACAGTTTTATAGAGACCTAGGCTACTACACCGATTGACGCTTTCATTACTAGTGATGGGATAACCGAATGGTTTTCATGACCGAATAATCAATCAGTTACTTTTTGCGTCAATCGGTTATTTTTAGTTGAATGAATCACCGAATCAATTTTAGTCATTATTCACTGTCACAAAACACAACTAATTTTTATCTTATGGGAAACTGAACGGCATTTTTTAGTCTTTTAGCGTCCATCGGTGATTTTTAGTCGAACGAATCGCCAAATAAATTTTAGTTTCCTGATGATGTGGATGTGACAAACTAAATCAACTAAATAACTAAATCACCGAATCGCTCGGTAAGACTAATTTAATCACAATAAAATAACCGAATTAGTCTATTCAGCATCAATAACCGATTGGTTCGGTTATTTTCATTCGGTGATTCCCACCACTATTCATTACTAACCAAAATTTTTTAGTATGCCGACATACTCACATTCAAACATACAGAAAAAGAAGTATCAACACTTAAACCACTTATATCTTAAAGCGATAAACTGCTGAACAAATATTTCCCAAATATGAGTTGAAATTTGAAATGCATAAACTAAATACTTACACGGATTGCATTTACGACAAAACTTGATTAAACGCAAGTGTTTGAGATGTTTAGTTAAAAAAATAACACATTTCCTGATAACGCAGATACTTTACGGTAGGGGAAAACTACCTACATTTTAAAGTGAAATAGTATGTAGGCAAACACCAACAAACAATATTTTTGTAAACAAACAACTCATAACATAAACATTTCAATGACAGTTATAAACCAGCATTGAAAATACTTTAAACTAGTGGCTTTTAGGGGCAATAGCCCCTATATTCTAGCAATTATTTTGTACAAATTATTAGTCTCATGGGTTACCCTACCTTGAATTATCATTTTACATTTTTGTATATTACTAGCTGTAACTCGCGGGCTTTGCCCCGTTTAACTTCTTAATTTTCAAGATGATCTCGTTCGCATGGCTCAATCACGTCCTGGTTGAAGTTCGTTCGCTACGCTCACTCACCTTTAGGTTGGAGCTCGTTCGCTGCGCTCACTTGCCTTCAGGTTAGCTCGTTCGCTACACTCACTTGCCTTCAGGTTAGCTTGTTCGCTACGCTAACTCGCCTCCAGGTTGAAGTTCGTTCGCTACGCTCACTCACCTTTTGGTTGCAAATTAGCTGTTGTCATAAATGTAAAAGAAACAATAGTGCTGCACCCTGTTGGTAATCCTTGTAACTTTAATGCTATTGAACATCATAGAACAGAACCAACTTGTTTAATTGAAACAGCTGTTATGATTCATTAATTCCATTTCTCATAAGGTTAACATGGGAAACTCCAGAGCCACTGGGGCGGAGCCGATTGGACGGATCATGAAATTGATGGTGTATAAACCTATTCCATGAAATTCTACACGTATGTACCAAGTCTCGTGGCAATCGGTTTAGCGGTGTCTGAGTTTATCACTGCCAAACAAATATATATACAAACATCCTCTTTTATACTTATAGATGATATGTTTAGTAGTTCATGAATTATGTTATTTACGTTGTTTACTTAGCCTATCAATAGTTCGTTGCCTGTTTTATTGTAAATTAGCAATCTAATTCTCTATGACACTAACAAAGATTGCGATTGCAAATACTTATTTTACCTGTTCTTTACTTTAATTAAAGCGTAGTAAATGTCCTAATTAAATTCTGTACATTTGTGTGTACTGTGTATGTCTGTTGTTAACACATTAGAGTGCTTATTTCTCAGTGCATCGCGGAACAGACAAGAATGCCTATGTTTTAATGAAAATACCAACCGGAATAAAGTTTGCAATGGTGAACTACTTTATCCAGTGTGTGAAGTAGCTTTCAATTGTACCTTAGGGCTATGCATCATCTAAATATATAAAAGGCAAAGCCCTCACTGACTGACTGACTCACTCACTCATCACTAATTCTCCCACTTCCCATTTACCTAGGAGGCTGAAATTCGGTACACCGATTCTTTGGGCATTAAATAGGAAAACTAAGTAGTTTTTATTCTGATCGGGCTTTCGGGCTCCGCCCCAGTGGCTCTGGAGTTTCCCATGTTAACCTTATGAGAAATGGAATTAATGAATCTTAACAGCTGTTTCAATTAAACAAGTTGGTTCTGTTCTATGATGTTCAATAGCATTAAAGTTAAGAGGATTACCAACAGGGTGCAGTACTATTATTTTTTTAATTTATGACTACTGCCAATTTGCAACCAGGTGAGTGAGCGGAGCGAACGAACTTCAACCTGGAAGCGAGTTAGCGTAGTGAACGAGCTAACCTGAAGGCAAGTGAGCGGAGCGAACGAGCTCCAACCTAAAGGTGAGTGAGCGTAGCGAACGAACTTCAACCAGAACGTGATTGAGCCATGCGAACGGGCTCACTTGTGAAGTTAAACGGGGCAAAGCTAGTAGATCTATAAAGCTGTGTTTTTTTTTAGTTTAATCATTAGATATAAAATATAGACTAACAAGATATATATCCGGGTGACATTTAATTGTTAACATTTGTTTTGGCTTGAAACTGTCAGATATTGTATTTCCGAAGGTGTATGTGTATTCCATGAATAGTTTTGCCAGCATATCTGGAAAAAAGCACATTAAATATGCAAACCAACTGCTGTTCTGAATATAAGAAGGTTTCAATTGACTACAAGATCCCCGTCCGTAGAACACACAGCTATTCTCTTATAAATATTTACTGTCTTGTTAAAACAGTACAAGTTTATTATACTGTTTATGAATCAAGTGTAACCTATTTTTGCCTAAAAATGACAGTTGAGCCAACATTCAACTTTGAAAATGTCTAGATTCAACAGTGAGGTGTACAGAGTTCTAGCAACCGACCCCATTTTTAGAGGCAAATATTTTATAAAATACTAAACTGTTCACACCACTGAATAAGGATTACTCATTAAAACAAACAATTAGAAATGAAAAGAATTATATTATATATATAGCATATATCCAGCCTTGATCAAAAATGAAAATACATCTACACAACATTATAATTGTAATTTTGTTTTAATTTGTTTCTTTATAGATCAGTACAAAATCGGTCTAGGAAAAATAATAGCGGTAAGAGTAACATTATAAGGAGCACGAGCAAGCACAAATCACACAGTTGTCAACCTTCATACGGTACTTCGGTATCCGAGCTCTCTTGACTAGTCGACTCGAACGATCGTTTCGATCGTCAAATTTTGCTAATAAATATAAATAAATAAATGCTTGTCGGGTGGTCGACTCTGGTGTTATTTTTCCTAGAGCTGAGGTGGCCTACTGTCGGTCGGTGGCACGCAGCTTCTCTTCCACAGCCTCCTGGGACGCTTCCGACAGGTCTGTGGCCTGAGAAAAACACAAACTGTATCAGATCCACAAGCAAAGAATAAGTAAGCTCTTATTAGCTAATTATAGTTTTTGTAATCTTTCTACGCTAGATGGAAATACCAATAACAATGTTAAGTATCATTGTAGAACTAAAAACATTAACTCATAATGTTGCGGCGCGTGATGCGCCAATGTTTTGGTAAATAATAAAAGAACTGACACTTTAAAAACGAACTATGAATTTATTGATATGGAAATGAACAAATGATATTAGTGGACTGTATAAATGAACTGTGATGAATAAATTGCTATAATGAACTAATGCGGTTGTAACTAAATGTGAAATACGTGGAGGGGACTGCCTCACACATCCTATCCCAAGCTATGCTAAACGAACAATGTTGCTCGATGATACACTGACAAAAGACTCCTCCCTCACTCAGTATGTGGTTACAGATTTCTAAGAACTGGTGAGGAAGGGTCCGTCCTTTCGCAGAAGGACGATGTTTATGACTGTGTTTAACGCCGACAAGTGACATGAATAGCAGGAAGTACGTTAGAATTTAACAACACATGTGATATGAATTGGTTAACTATTTACTTACAATATTACTTACACTAAGAACATAAATAAAACAATTAACAATCATGATACTAAACATTCTCCCCCCTTGAAAGTGGGAATGCTTTCAACTATTTAAATATTGAATGATTATAACCTAAATGCAATAAAATTGATATATTACAGTACAAGGGCAATTACAAACAATTCGATGAAAATGGCAATTGCGATGATACGCAAATAAAAAACTTGAATGTTGACTATAAGGGGAGACTAATCAATGAATTACTATAGACAAGACTAATGAAACTACTACTATAAGACTAATGAATCAATAATAATTTGATATAATGTGCAAAATGCTATACAAACATACGATTTATAAAAAATGTTAAACTAAAGCATTTTGAAGTTACAATTAACAAAAAATGAAACTCGTACTAAAGGCTCAAATTGAATTACTAAAATGACTATACACATACATTGATTATGAAGTACAATTATAACAACAATGCAACAATTCGATGAACAAAGTACTTGAGCGAAAGTACACATTTACATAAATATTGAAAATGACTACTTTGTTTAACCAATTCTAAACACGATTGATTGATACTAATCCAAATCATCCAATATTGACCACTGAATACATAATTGCAAAATTTGATATTTTACATTATAACGTGATATAAATCCTAACTTAAGCTGTGTTGTTAATACATGTATAAATATGCAACGAATGAAATTGAAATTATAAATAAGACGACTAAACGATTACAACTAGACTACCATGAAACATTACTACACTATATACATGAAGTGCAACACTGATCACTCACTTTCACTATAATTGACCATTTTGGTTGACACATGACACAATATCACTAGGATCAATGGTGATGGTGCGGTGGTGGCTGACAGCTGTTTTGATGACACTGTTGCTGTCTTGACTGTGGCCACCATGGCCTTGCTGTGGGCTTGGAGATGGACGTCAATGGACCTCGCAGTTTCCCACTTGTGAAGTGTCGGTTGTCATCTCTGATGATCGCCCGCTGATTAGGATGGAAGTTGGAGGCTTGTGATCTCCATTGCTGATCTACTGATCTCTCTAAGTTGGTAGCGTTGACAGAATGAGGTGTAGACATATCTCCGTAGTTGCTGACGGTGAGGTGACAGTGTGAACGTACAGTTGGACTGTGATTTGTTTTAACCTTTCCAGAAGCGACCCATCCAAGAGATGTCTTCTGAAGAAGTGGTCCATTTTGGTGCAGCCTCATTTGTCCTATGTCCAAGAGATGGAAAAATAGTTCGGCCCCGATAAGCATGTCGATCGGACCAGGTGTGTTGAATTGAAAGTCTGCTAACTTTAATGATGGTGGTATCTGCCAGTTGTCCGTGTTCATCTCTACACGTGGTAGGTGATGGGTGATTTTTGGAATTACTAGGCAGTCTATTGAAGTCTTGTAGGCTGTGTGTTGAGAGTGAAGTTTGCAGACGACAGAGCTAGAAGTGTTTGCCTGTTGTTCACTGATCCCACTTACTATGGTAGACTTATTGTGTTTCTGCAATCTTAACTTATCTGCCATGTTTTCTGTTATAAAGTTAGATTGTGACGCTGAATCTAACAGTACTCTGCATTGGTGCTTGTTGCCTTGATTATCTTCTACGTCGACCACTGCTGTGGGCAGTACTACTTGAAGGTTGTTACATTGTGATGCAAGTGTTGTTGTCATGAAAGATGTACTATGGTTGTTTGGTTGTTCTTCTGTAGATTGGTCGATGATGTGAGGATTATCAGTGTCCAAGTCAAAATGTAACATTGTGTTGTGTTTATCGTTACACACTTTGCAGGCTCCAGCTTGACAGTCTTTAATTTTGTGTGATTTTGAGAAGCAGTTTATGCACATACCTAGCTCCTTGATACTGGAATACCGGTCTGTGGGCTTAAGTGACTTGAACTGATCACATTGGAATATCTTGTGATTGCCATTGCAATATGGACATGTTACACTACTGCTGCTGGTAACTAGAGTAGTGTGATGTCTGAAGTGAGGTAGCGTTTGGTTGCTATTACTATGTGGACTGCCACTTGATTGCTTACTATGACTATTGCTTATGATGTTATGTCTATTGTGATGTAGACTTCTGTTGCTAGGACTAGTTGATTGATCGCTATGATTCAAGTCGATTGCTTCTAATGTTTGACATCTAGATTTTAGGAATGTGATGAAATTTGTGAATGTTGGTACATCTGACGATACAATGTGGCTCTCCCAAAGTCTAAGTGTAGGGTGATCAAGCTTCTTGGTCAATGTGAATATCAACAAAGTATCCCAACTTTGCACTGGTTGACCTAGGTTTTCTAGAGCACGTAAATGCTTGTTTACAGAATCTATTAATGATCTTAACTCTAATCCAGATTCCCTTTCAATTTTGCTGATGTTGTGTAGAGAAGCTATGTGATTGTTGATGAGGATTCTTTTGTTTTCAAATCTTTCCTTAAGTAGGGACCAAGCAGTAGTGTAGTTTACTGATGTAACTTCTAAGGATTCTATGACACTGATAGCTGGACCGTGGAGTGATGTTTTGAGGTAATGAAACTTTTGTGTGTCTGTTAGTGACGTGTTGTCATGGACGAGAGAATGGAATATTTCTTGGAACGATGTCCACTCCTCGTATTTTCCACCAAATGTAGGGAGTTTTATAGTAGGCAATTTGACACTAATTGAAGAGTTATTAGAAACTTCCGAGCTAGATGGGGTTGAAATTGGTTGGATGTCAGTGAGGAGAGCTTCTGCTTGGGCAATCAATTCAAAATAAATGTTTTCAAACGATTCCCTTTCAGCTTCGTGATCTGATTCAGTATCAAGAAGTTCTATGTCTCCTTGTATCTGTTCAAATTCTTGTACAAGTGGTTGAAATAGGGCTAGTCTACTTTTTAATTGGGTCACGTCATTATCTACTATTGCATCTAAATACTTTTTAAATCTAGTAAGCTTGGCTTTGGTCTGTCCTCGCTTTTGGCCTAATGTTTTTAACTGCTGTTCTGTCATATTCTTTTTGTGCAAAGAAGCTTGTAAAAGGATGAATGCTGTTTGAAGCTGAACGTGATGAGGTTGATAATGACTTACGGTGCTGCAGCTGTGTTAATCCAATCGGACACTATGTCACTAGTCACTGGTCACTGAGTCACTTGAAGACGAACTGTTCACGGAAGTCGCGATGGAGACGGTTCGTCACGTTCGGACGACGAAACTATAATGCGTACGGTACGATTGTTCCACGCGATCACTGATAAATAATCGCGGCTCGATGGACCATGTTGCGGCGCGTGATGCGCCAATGTTTTGGTAAATAATAAAAGAACTGACACTTTAAAAACGAACTATGAATTTATTGATATGGAAATGAACAAATGATATTAGTGGACTGTATAAATGAACTGTGATGAATAAATTGCTATAATGAACTAATGCGGTTGTAACTAAATGTGAAATACGTGGAGGGGACTGCCTCACACATCCTATCCCAAGCTATGCTAAACGAACAATGTTGCTCGATGATACACTGACAAAAGACTCCTCCCTCACTCAGTATGTGGTTACAGATTTCTAAGAACTGGTGAGGAAGGGTCCGTCCTTTCGCAGAAGGACGATGTTTATGACTGTGTTTAACGCCGACAAGTGACATGAATAGCAGGAAGTACGTTAGAATTTAACAACACATGTGATATGAATTGGTTAACTATTTACTTACAATATTACTTACACTAAGAACATAAATAAAACAATTAACAATCATGATACTAAACATTCTCCCCCCTTGAAAGTGGGAATGCTTTCAACTATTTAAATATTGAATGATTATAACCTAAATGCAATAAAATTGATATATTACAGTACAAGGGCAATTACAAACAATTCGATGAAAATGGCAATTGCGATGATACGCAAATAAAAAACTTGAATGTTGACTATAAGGGGAGACTAATCAATGAATTACTATAGACAAGACTAATGAAACTACTACTATAAGACTAATGAATCAATAATAATTTGATATAATGTGCAAAATGCTATACAAACATACGATTTATAAAAAATGTTAAACTAAAGCATTTTGAAGTTACAATTAACAAAAAATGAAACTCGTACTAAAGGCTCAAATTGAATTACTAAAATGACTATACACATACATTGATTATGAAGTACAATTATAACAACAATGCAACAATTCGATGAACAAAGTACTTGAGCGAAAGTACACATTTACATAAATATTGAAAATGACTACTTTGTTTAACCAATTCTAAACACGATTGATTGATACTAATCCAAATCATCCAATATTGACCACTGAATACATAATTGCAAAATTTGATATTTTACATTATAACGTGATATAAATCCTAACTTAAGCTGTGTTGTTAATACATGTATAAATATGCAACGAATGA